ATACCTACATCACGAAAAATACAGTAAACAATAGCTTTTATGATATAAATCAAACTAGAAAAGGAAGATTACTTAATGACGTGTGAAAAGATATTTGTCGCCGACACCTTAGACAAAGTAACATTCGATCGCTGATCCGAGAATCAAAAACATATGGTACTGACAAAAACATTTGATAAGTCGCGTGCTTGTCACGTATACATTTTTATACATTTCGACTCATTTGGTCGATTTTACTAGAGATATTGCTAATCGAAAGTCATTTTGACTTGGGGCTGAGCTTTTTTCTCTTATCCTAATTGATATAACTATCACTAACAAACATTCTTAATATCTCGATCATCTATTTTATTCGTTATTTAATTTTAAAGATTAGTTATAAGTATTTTACAAACTTGCAACACAGTGAGGTTGGCTTCCTGGCTGAGTGTGAGTTTCTCCGCGTCGCTGGGGTACGCGTTATATCTGTGCTCGAACAGCCATCGTTTGAGGATCTTTACGGAGTGTTTGGGCAGGTTGCCGCGCCGCTTGCGCACCGCCACCATGCCGGGCGGCGGCGCGTGCGACAGCGCGTGTTGCAGCGCACGACGCGACCTGTCCGCCTCGCCATCGGTACCGGACTCATTCTCGTCCGTGGACGACGTCGATGGGAAACGTTCACGCGCTGAAACAAAAATTACTGGATTTCTAAATGCTTGAATTCAAATTACAAGTTTTATTCAAATTATTTTCAAATTACAAGTTATTTTGTACTCAAAAAGATATGTTTTGAACTATACTAATATTATAAAGAAAGGATTTTTGTATGTATTTGATTCACGTAAATATCGCTGAGCCGATTTCAAAAACTCTTTCCCCATTTAAAAACTACGTTATCAGTGAGCAACATAGCCTATACATTTGAATTTCAAGCGGTCGACGTCGCGAGCAACCTATACTAACATTATAAAGAAGATAAATTTGTATTTTTAATAGAAATAACTCAAATACTGGGCAAATTTTAAAAATTCGTTCACCATTAGAATGTTAATTTATCGGCAAGTAACATAGACTGTTCTTTATTATTTTTTATTTTCACGAGGTTGAAGTAGCGAGCAACAGCTGTAGTAAATAATCTTCTAGCACTAATATTTATATCGAAGAAATTAAGCAAACACTATACCAGAGTGTAATTTATATCTCGATAGTCATACATCAGAAAGCGATCTATCAATGCTGGTGAGGCATCGTAAACGATGGACGATCACTCACAGACAGCGAATTTACTGACGCTGTTGAAACATGACTCGGAAATATTTTGTATTTTTAAAGCATTCATCTTACGAGAAATATAACTGTTGAGAGACCGGAAATGTATTAAATTTAAAAATACTTTTCTCCGCTTATAAAAACTGTAACCTTTTTGACTTTTGAGTTCAATTCCTGTATATGTTTACCTTTTTTGTTTACCTTGTTTCTGACCATTTATTGATAAAAAGGGTAATCTTTTTACACGTATAGGTTTCTTTTAAGTACAACTTGGTTGATCAATATACCTCGTCACGGTTTGTTTACATTTCAAAACGGCCCTTTACATGGACTCAGGTAATATTTGACGATAGTAGACCTTATCTTGATATATTTAGATGCTAAAATTGTTTATCATCGGATACCTTTACTTACGTAAAATACGTGATGCGTATATTAGCACTTAGGAAATGACAAGTAAATATTAGTATATCCTGTTAAGTAGAAAATAGTATGGAAGTACGATTTATTGGTAATTTTGTGACTAATCATTCAAATATGTGCTTTGTTCCATTACATCAATAGTACAAACGACAGAATCGTATTACTTTGCTAAAGGTTAACAAGGTTTACATTTCGCCAAGTAAGCGATAGAGTATAAATGGAAACGCATAGAGTGTAAGTATAAACATAAGTATTTCTTCACGGGGAGTTACTGTAAGCGTCAACAGAGCGATATATGCCAATAAACGGATTGTTTTACTGTTAAAGTGACCATAATTTTGTTTATTCGCTTGATTTTCGAATTGGAACATTTATTTTTCTACTCATGTTTGTCACTTCGTTTATTTATTAGAGAAAATGATTATTTATTAAAACAATAGCTAATTTCCGAATCATTCACCGTAAACGTTTTATACATTTGTAATACTTAGCATTAAAATTGGTATCCAAACGAATTTTGGGATTATCCCTTTATTATTCAAGCCATGGTCACCTTAGTAACCAGTCAGCTACATTAATCCGGCGACTCAACACAACATTTGGAACACATGTTTCAACAAATACCCCTGCCTTCTGCCGCTAGCATTGTATTTACTCGGAAAAGCATATTTAGCACTGTTTGTTTTACACAATGGTTTCAGATATAAAAGCTATTGAAGCATTATGAATATAAACCAACAAATCTATACTACAGAGACGATGACAAGCTAGGGAACGAAAAAATGGTTTGATAGATAAATTCGTTAGAGAAATCTCACAATGACGTAATTGACCACGAGTAAAGTCGAAAGAGTGAAAATGTTATTGCTTTTATAATTTTTTTGCAAATATATTAAATTGCACTGCGGCAACTAAGAAACATACATTATCTATATTACTTAATACGAATGTTTTTATGTATAAAAGACTGCAATAACAAAGGCGCAAGGTCAGACGGACGCGGAAACTGCGTCGGAAGTTATTCGGAGGGCGAAGGGTGGGTGGGCTAGGGGGTTGGATCGATCGGGGTCGACGGCCACAGGGTGTCAGAGTAGCACCGCTAACCTCACCCCTTGTTTATGCACTCAACTTGCGAAATAACATTGTAAATACATTGTAAAAGTGAAAGGTGTACTTAATCTATTTCTTTACTACTTAAATTTTATTTGGCACTTTAAAAAAAATTGAATATTCAAGTTTTTACAACTGTAATTATTACTTCTTTTGATTTCTTATTACCGACTAGCTGTTACCCTTGGCTTCGTCCACGCAATATTAAGATCAAAAGTAGCCTATAATATGCCCGTCTATGTCAGCTATCTTTCAGGGAGAGTCCGATCGAAATCGACCCAGCCGTTTCGGAGATTACCCGGAACACACGCCACTTGCAGACAGACATTTTTTTAATTAATTAATTTAAAAAAAAAATAAAAAAATTGAAAATTAGTTTAAAATATATCAGAAATTTTTTTAAATCTTCGCAAATACATCATCTTCCGAAATGTGGATTTTTTTTTTTGATATTACAAAGAGACACTCCAATATTATTATTTGTACAGATAGATATAAATTTGACTTTGTCAATGGCATAGTATTGGTTAAAAGCACTAAATATACAATAGAGACGCTCAGTTTAGGTGAGACAATCAAGTGGAAAATCTACAACAAAAGCATATGTTGACTTTATTATTTAGATATTAACATTACATTAACCTACAAAGCGCGCAGCACAAACGAGCGTGTAGTCGTGTAGATTTTGCTTACAACCTTCATGAACAATTTTCTACATAATTTCCTTAGCTTGAATTATCTATATTGGATTGAAAACTAAATTCAAATACATAAGAAATTCATTTCTTCATAAATAGACTACTAAAATCTTCAAGATATTTTGTATTTAAGTTTTATTGCAATAGTAATTAGATCACAAAACATCAAATATCTTACTAACATTATATAGGCAAAATAGTTTCATTGTGCGTGCAAGCGCAAGCTTTAACAAAATCTGCAGGCATCACGATCTCGATCCATTCACGACGAGCGAGACTACTGCAAGAAGACGCTTAGCACTTGACTTTTTTATATAAAAATGAACTGTTACTAACATTATTAATACGTTGTGGCTATTGTATATTGTTATATTGTACCTAATTTATACATATTGTAAATAACTATTTGGTAGTTGGCAGCAGTACCTGCTGTTTGTTTCTGCTATAATATTGCTACAAGCGAAAACTTTTCATTGGCTCTCTGTGATCTAGTTTATAGTTACTTAGATAAGGTTAGGCTGTAAGTTTTCCATGTGTTAAATTAAATAAATAAATAAATAAATTATAAATGCGAAAGTTTAGATAGATGGATGGATGTGTTAGAGTTTGTAGCCTAAACGGCTGAGGGAATTTCGATGAAATTTGGTATAAATATAGATGTTAGTTTGGAACAACACATACTCACTTTTGTTTTTTTTAAATTCAACGCGGACGGAGTCGCGGGCCAAAGCTAGTTATGACATACTTTCCGTCGAGCCTTATAGCACAGTGACGTCACAGGCGTAAAGTCGCGAACAACACCGGGTCAGAACAGTGCGATGCTCTTTGTCTAAATTCCGTACTATTCTCGTCTGAGTACATTCTTATAGTAAGTAAGTAGTGTAAAGGTGTTGCATTAGAAAATATATCTGGCCATTAAGTGGTCTTGAATTTCGATTAAAAATTAAAAAGCATGTCTTCAGAATTTTGGCATCGATTTAAATTTCATTCATTTATATTCACCATCCATACCATCAGGGCCGAGTTTTAGTTTTTTCTTGCCTAGACATAATTATGTTAATTCATGCCAGTTCGGGAATAAAAAAAAAGGTTTTAGCCTATCGTTTCAGAATTAAAAAAAAAACAGACAATCGAACTGATTTAAAATGTGAACGATAAATTATTTCGGTTATCAAGCAATGCCGGTTATTGACCGGTATTACGTAAGATAAGGCAAGGGTTTTTATTTACTTTTATTATCTTTACCAGTAAAAGATCTAGACATGTGATTTTAGAATTTAAAAGTCCGTTTTTCTACTTAACAAGATTAAATACTGTAATGTAAACTATTAAAATTTATTTAGTATGAAATAATGCTGAGTCTGTATGTTATGTTTCGTCCAAAAGTCTCGTAACAAAGCGAAAAAAATTAAAATAAGTTTTACTGTTTCGTAATTTCAATTCAAAACCAACTTCATGGTTAAATTCAGTGCATCTAGATAACAATGTTTTCGCTTTACGACAATTCTTGAACAATACATAAAAGAAAAACCATTCAAATCGAAAGAAAAGGGTCAACGCATAATTGACAGCGCGGTAAACGACCTAACCTCAAATGTACGTCATTGTCGCTCGCACTTCGTTCTGAAACCTATTTCTTTTCAAAACGTAACACTACAGTTTTAAAAATAAACCGCTTATTAACCTGCCAGCCCTGTAGCTGACATTTCCACGGTATTCAATGGATCGCTCCACTTTCGCAACTGTGTCACTGGGCTCGCCGGGCACCCTGCCGACAAGTTTCGCACCACATCTGTTTCTAACGCCTTCTGTTCATTTAGTATACTGTGTCGCCTTACGTATGTTAGGACTTGTAAACTATATACAAGTGTCTACGATCGCGTCTAATCATGTAGATTATTTTATTAAAAAATACATCACAAAATCTTTATTTAAAATAAATAAACAAAAGTTTTTGTTTATTTATTGAAATTTGTAAATATTTATTATAAGAAATTTTGCAAAAAAATTTTCACATAAGGAATAGACTTTTAAAAGGACTATCAAGAAATATTTTATACAGATTAATTAATATTAAATTGTTACTTAACAATTTTTTCTCATAACATAGCATGACAAGAAACTAAACATCTGAATTCAATGTGAAAAATAGTAATGTGGCCACTGCTAAATTCGAAATTCAAATTCTAAAAAGCAAATGTGTTACCTATTTCTTCTACCCTATCATTTACTTGTAAGGAAAAGGTGGGGATAGAAAGTGGACACAAATTAGGCTTAATATGCTTAAGTAAACTGCATGTTACAAATAACTGAATATATTGGAATAACATAAACAATACTTACATGCAATCTAAACATTGTGATGTTATCATAGGTTAAATATTCTCTTAAAATATTTTCTAGAGATATCTGTGACCTACTTTAGAAACTGATAAAGGGACATTATCTTGAATGAGTTGGTTTTGATTTATTACTGAAGTTTATGATAAAATCTATACCTAAACATCCCTTCTTGTTATCTGCAGTACTCAGAGTCTTTTTATGGTTAGTTACTTAGTCTCATAGTGACAAATAGCCTTTAAGTGTATTATAAAAGTTTTATGTCCAATGCAGTTAGTTTTCAAAATGGGTACTGAGGACTAGAGATCAGCGATTTCTTATTAAAATAACTAATATTTGACAAAACTACATGAAAAACAACTAACATGTTTTTAATATTTATTATTTAAAAAGAGAGAGATGGATTAATTTAAAAAGAGCACCATGTATTAACTTATTAATTAAATTAATAATTGTTAGAACATAATTTATAGATGTATTATTTTATTAAAATATTCGTTTTTAAACATTGTGGTGATCTAAAGGAAAAGGCGATTTAACATATGATTAAACTTACTTATTTATAATATAATAAAAATAACCTCTGAAATTAAAACGAGATTTATGTAAAAAGTAACTATGCAAGCTGTCATGTCATTGATATCAACAAAACGACTACAGCGCCACCAACCGAAGCGCGTGATCAAACTATGAAATAAAACGAGGCGCCGCCATCTTGTGTGCCTTGAACACTGTCATTTTACTGTCATTGCGACATTTTAAGTCAATGAGATTTCAATAACAATAAACAAACAATATCACATTACACTTTGCTACATTTTTAGACAAATTTCCCTTATAATGTCCCGACTAGAAAAAACGTTCTAAATATCTAATGAATAACGAAACATGGTACACAAGGAGATGGTTAAAAATAACCCATGCACGTGCCAAGTTTTCTTTTTAAGCTTCGATACGGTATGGTAAAACGGAGGCTTTACGCAATAGGTCATATCAGCGTTTAAAGCTATATTTCTATGTTTTTAGTTATATAAATATAAAGAAAAAGGAAATCAAGCAATCAATGTGGCGCATTGGCGCCATTTTCCTTTTGTAACAGTAAGCTTCTAGGTGACGTAATAGATTTATAATGTTTCCCAAAGTGTGCCTATGTACAAATTAGGTAAACCTAAACTGATTTTTGGAAACATTTATAGCGGCAAAAGCATTGTTTTTATATACATGTCACCTTGACGTATGTCAGTATGACAAGCATGGCGGAAACGTGGCGTCGTTAGGCCGGCTTACCTCCAGGCGACATGGACTGTCGGTTATTGACGCGGGCGTCTCTGATAATATCCCTCGTTATTTCTCTAACGTCACGTCTCTGCTGGTATGCCATGTCAGGCCGGTTGCTATCTTCTGCTATACCGGCCGTAGGTGGTAACATCGTTATTTAATCCATTCGGAGACACTTTTCGTCGCTGTCACTATTGAAACAAAACAACAGCAGTCCACTGAATGTCAATCGGTTAAAGTTATTATTATCAACAATCACCAAAATGAAAATAACAGAGCCGAACTACGCACAGCAAACCGAACTGGAGCGCGACTGTCTATGTGCTGTACGGCGACGTTTGGGGGACGGCGGGAAGCTACAGCGCCGTCGCGCGGTCGTCTCTTTCTATTGCACTCTCAAATGCCTATGTCTTACTCGCTTACACGGTAACGCTTTAATGACAGAATGGAAGTGTATGTCAAAACAAAGCGTGGGCTGTGACCGCAATGTATTCAAATGTCAAAAAGCCAACCGTTTACAAAATATTGAAGCGCCATCTGTTATGATTTACATTAATACAATAAACCTTCACAACGATACCGCGAAAAACTGGTACTATCTACAAGAAATACTATATCCAAATGACTTTTATTATACTGTCTATAAAAAATGAGCCTGTTTCTTAAAAAAAAACAATTAACAGTGATATCTGCACTAAGACACATTTATTTTGATTTTGACTGAATTATACAGCGAAACTTGGGCATCTCCGAGACAAGGCTCTTCCTAGTTCAAATCCACCATTTCATTGCGTTTACAAAAATAATAACGGAACTTTTCATTTTAAGTTATTCAAAATTATTTTCATAACTAGCTGTTGCTCGCGTCTTCGTCCGCATGAAATTACAAAAATATAGAAAAATAGCCTGTGTTAGTCACAATAAATTTCCTTTCTACTAATTTTATAATCGGCCCAGTAGTTTTTTTTTTCAATACATATAAAAATACAAATCTTTCCTCTTTATAATAATAGTAAAGATTCCAAATAAATTTAAATGTAATACTCGTACAATCGTTTATTTTTAAGCGTTAGTTTATTTTTATAAATCTTGACTTGTTGAAGATTTACTTACGATAAATCTGATGTAAGTGGGAAATTAAAAATAATGCTAATTGATATTGGACGGATTTTTTATTTGCAAAGAAAAAAAAACTTATTAATAATCCAACGAACGATACAAAATTGTCTACACGAAAACAATAAATATTAAATAAGCAATATATTTCATCAGTTATCTTCCTTCATGTTGTAGATCAAGCTTTCATAGACGGCTTGGGGCGCTTTGTCGGAGAACAGGAAGTCCATATGACTGAACTGCTCATCGGCTACCACGCTGTGCGCCTTCGCGTTGGGGAGCTCCTTAAACAGCCGCATGACGTCATCGGGATGCGACAACCAATCGCTAGCCGCGGAATACAGCACAACGGGCGCCCGCACCTCTGTCATGTTGTACTTGGGCGGTTGTACGTGTCCGTACACCTTCTTGTTCACTTCAGGGCCGTGGTCGAACTTCCTGAAGTCATGCGAGGCGACGCCCTGAGCGTAGTGCTGCACCTGGCGCACAGACCCGCCCGCAGGCAGGTGGCCAAGCACGACCGGGATGCGGTCTACCGGCACGTCACCGACGCCTGCCATTACGAAGTTTATGTTCGAACAGACGTTCTTGCATCCGATTTCGTTCTGGCACATGTTTCCGCCGACCGTATAAATCAATTCCTTGGCCGGTTTGAACTCGCCCGCTCCTAGCTGCTCCTGGAGGCGCTCGTGGAAGGGACTGGTCGTGGTGATCATCCGGAATAGAGGGCTGCGTACCTTAGTCATGTACACCATGGGCGAGATGGCGTGCACTTTGCTAATCTTCTCATTGTATTCGGGTCGCGACGCCATGAGTGCGAATATAGCTGTGGTGCCCTGAGACATACCAACGTATTGAAGTTTCTTCTGTTGTGATGTTCTCAAGGCGTGGTCGATCATGGCGGGCATATCGTGGAGAGCGATTTCGTCGTTGCTGAACTGCCAGAAGTCCGGCTGGGCCTCGTGCTTGCTGGCGTGGTGCCTGCCGTACCTGCTGCCGCGCGTGTTGCCGAGCCAGACCTCATAACCGAGATCGGCGAGAATGAAGGCGAGCGATCTTTCGGGACCCATCAGTAGCCAGTCGTCGGAACTGCCGAGGAGCCCGTGGGCGAGGAAAACAACTGGGCTGTTTGTTTTATCTTCTCCACTCTGCATTAGCTTGGGCGCAACACGGAAGACAGTAAGTTGGTAGCCATCATCGGTGTGTACTGTGTGTTCCTCGACCTTGTATTGGTGTTTCTTCAAGAGCTGAGAGGAGTTTAAATGAACATCTTCGTTTTCAATTTTATTGGCGGCGAGGTAAGCTTGATGGAAGCTTTTCTTTTCTTCCTCGGTGAAGTGTTTCATTGTTGTGTAGGCGTCGTCGAAGATCCTCTCGATTTCTTTGAGCGCGGTGACGGGGGAGCGCGGGCCGGTGGCGATCTGTACACCCTTCCATGTGAGCATGTCCCCATGCAGGGGCCGCGAGTCGTCTCGGTTAACGATAAAAGAGGTGAGGGGTTTATCCCAAATGTTGTCGACGTTGAAAGTGATGTAGCCATCGGTTGCTTGGCTGTGAGTTCTCTCGTTGCTCTCGGAGCTCGCGCTGGAGGACTGGTGGTGATGATGCTTGTGGTGGACTTTGTGATGCGCTGCCTGTGGGCTGGAGTGGTGGTGCTGTGGCAGTTCCTCGAAGTCTTCTTGGCGCGGCGCCGCGGGACGCTCGTGGCGGAAGATACTGGCGGCGGCGTGGCCAGCGAGCGTGAGGGCCAACAGCAGAGCGAGGGCCTTCATGGTGGCAGCGGCGAGAAGTGACGACTGGCGCGCCGCCACATGTTTTATACTGAAACTATTGTTCACTCAGCACTTTTTGGCAACATGCGCGCTCCACTTGTTATAAGTGCTGGTTTTGCGTTATGCTTCAATATGGAAAATTACATTTTAACATTACTATTTTCGTTTTTAAGTATAATTTCTTTAAAATAAATAAATTAATAAAAACCTGACCTGATTTTTTTATTTACAGAAATAAGGAATTTTAAAAAGAATTTTATGCTAATAAGAATGATTAGTTACCTAGTTCATAACGGAAAAAAAAAATCTTGTGAATTACCTAATAAATATTTTTGGCACAAAAATAGAATCGAAATTTCGATATTTAGTACTGGTACAGTATAAATAAAGAGTTAAAGTTAAAAATAAATTTGGATTATCAATATGTACATATTCCATTTTTTCGATATATCAAGGTAGCTACTGCCATCTATCATTGCCAGTTAATACTTTTCTAAGGCGTAAATGTTTGGGTTTTAGCAGATTTACTTTTGTTTATTAATTTAATTCAGTAATTAACGTAAACCGTATTTCTTAATAAGAGCATCTCCAACATATTTAATTTACTTATAACGATATGTTAACTTTAGAAAAAAAAGTATTACTCTCAAAATTTTAATTCTTTCTACGATCATAGATGGCGTTTTTTTGAACACCCAATTTAAACAAAAACTTTTTTAAAAGCTTATTTTATGTCTTCAAATGATTTTTTACAGATTTTTAAACAAGTAATTTGATAATGTTTACTGAGTGATATTGATTTAGTTGTCTCAAAAGTCTGGTTAAAACGTTTGGCACACAGTATTCCGTACTTCTTTCTAAAGCTAACAGATGGCACTGAGTAAGTACGGTTTTTAAATGTCCAGCTTTCAGTACTTTTCATAAAACTTGTTTTTTCCACAAACTCTCTACGTTTACAAGCTTTTATATTAATTTATGTATATGGACTTAACATGTAACAAATAACTTCGGCGATGAATTTGGGAGATAGCAACGTTCAGAAACAAAACAAAATTGGAGAGTCGTCGTATTTTATCCGTATAATTCGCAATAGATTGTAGCTTTAACAATTTATTAAATTAAAACCTATTGTTATTATTTTACTTAATAGTGACAGTAATAATGTAAGAAAATATAACATTTGAAATACAATGAGCCATAAAAATACTGTTTTTTTTCTACGTTGTATATAAAAGTAAATAAAATGAGCACTGTTTCTAGATGTTAGCACCCAACTTATTTTACTTATACATCTGTGTATATATTACTTACATAGTAAACAAAAATAGAGTGTATTTAACTACATGTTTCCATTACTCGTAAAAAAAAATATTTTTAACGTTTTTATCTGTCCATCTCTCTGCGTTTGTCATTGAAAACGAGGGGAGGGTAATTGATAGGTAATTGTTTTTTTTTACATTTAAGGATCAAAATAAATTGTTTCTGATTAAAAAAAGAATATCTAATATCTCTAATTTCTGGTGATTGAGAAATTAGTATTTGGCAGTGTAATAATATATTTCTTTTGCAATCAAAACTATTGTACTAATTTATTATGCGAGTTCATCGAAATATTTTACATGTTTTTTTGTGAATGTAGGTCAAACGTGTCTGATTAAAATTGTTAACATTACATTATTAGGTAACTGGTAATCAAACTTCAAGCTTATTAATCAATTTATTAGAATATCTATGTAATAAGGTTCAGTAATTCGTTTTTGAAATCTAAAATTAACTGTATGTTTACTTTTGCACTTTAAACACGTAGTTTATTGCTTGAGATGTCATCATAACCAATTACGTCCTCACTGAGGCTGAAAGTCTACTAGAAGCTAATGATTATGTCTTCTTCTTCTTCTTATGCCTCTCCATTACTGGAGGTTGGCCGTCAGTTCAGCGAATCTCTCCCTGTCCTGCGCCAAGCGAAAAAGTTGTTCGACGCTGGCGATACTTGTCCACTCTTGATTATGTCTATGCGTTGACAAATTGCGTAGATGAAAGTATAAGAGGCGAAAAAGATATACAAAAGCTGCTCAAATACATTGTTTCTATATCTACTTTTTACCGGAGTGAGTTGATGAAGTCCTAATTTGGTCCTCCGAGAAGATACTTTAATATCCTTGTTATATGTACATAAGTTAAAACCCACTGCTACCTGCTGGTTTGAATTGCAAACTTTTAGTTGCACGCAAACGTTTTTCTAACTATGAAAAGGAACCATAAAAATTTAATGCAAACAAACACCTTGATAATTGCAGACTCGAGAGAACGAAGCAGGTTCTGTAAACAGGTACATAATACATTTAAAATTACCTATTTTATGTGTTAACAGTAGGGTTGCCAACTCTTCAGATTTAACCAGAATTCTTCGGGTTTCAAAGGCGTATATTTTGAGCCATTTACATCTTAATGATATTTTCGAGGAAGTTAATCATAACGGACGTAGTGCAAGGCGTGGTGGAGCGATGGCTCAGGGTTCCAGACATAAAAATTCGCTACAGACACATACAGACGGGCGCCATTTCCTTATGAGTTTATATTAGGGGCAGGGTCGAAATTTCGCCTATGTTGGTATACCGATCCTGATGTTAATTTTACCTTCGGATGCGTCAATTTCAGTTACATGTTTGATAACGATTGCTTCTGGTTAATAGATTAAAGGTGTTACTGAAGACGGCTGAGAATTTAGGATATAAGTTTTTTTGTCAGCTTCCTATGAGTGAAGGTTTGACAAATCACTTCGTTTTTTTGGGTTCGGCGCGGGCGCCTACGTTGTGTAATGTTGGCAGCCCTAGATAGTCGACGGTTGTTGAATGTGACGCAAACGGCGTATAAAAACTGCATGACAATGCAAATGATATGAGGAAAAATGAATATTGTGTTGTCGTTCTTTGCGTGAAAATTCTTGCTTCTTACTTAATTTTATAAATTCGAACGTTTTGATGGATGGATGTTTGTAGAGCTTCTAGTCTAAAGGGCTCTCGACAAAATTTGGCATAAATGTAGGGGATACTTTTTAAAAATACATAGGCCATTTAGTTTTGTTTCTTTTTTAATTACATGTGGAAGGAGTTGCTGCCGAAAGCTAGTTTAATAATAAATTCTTATGGATTACTTACTTTGGGTAGACAATAATTCATATGTTTACACAAATTGCTTAAGAAAGCTTGAACATTATATGACTGAACTAATTTGAGTAGTAAAGTTCTTTTAAGCATTCTTCTATGTTATAGCAGGAGTATAAAAGTTAAGTCAAGTTACGTAAATTAAAAAAAAATAATTAGGTAACCAGCCAGGTATAATAGCATGGACTATCTACAATTAAACCAATTTACGGAATCCATGCCATATTAATTTTCTCAAAACACCACAAGTTTGTTTACTTTTCCGCGCCTGAAATATAATATTACTTTATTTATTTAATCATTATAAAACAGACTCGTAGATAATAATAACAGTTTACAATCTCTAACACACACTTTTTATAACAATTAGTATTTGATTTGTTATAAAAAATTATGTAATACGAGCTGTTGGCCGCAACTTCGTCCGCGTGATATTATAAAACAAACTATATAAATTACAAAAAGCTACGTATCCCTCGGGAACCGGACATTTCTTTGGGATGAAGCTTATCCCATGTGTACTCCAGACTTTGTTTTATATCTGTGCCAAATTTCAATAATGATATTCATAATTTCAATAATAATGATATGTTAAACCGTTGCAGAATGATCGAGTAAACATTAAAAAACTAAATTAATGAATCCCACGGGAACCGTAACTATTTCCGGGATAAAAAGTAGCCTATGTGTTCTTCGAGACTACGCTCTAAACCCGTGCCAAATTTCATGGAGATCCGTTCAGTCATTAAGGCTACAAACGCTAACAAACATCCATCTATCCATCCATTTATCCATCCATCTAAACTTTCGCATTTATAATATTAGTAAGATTAGTAAGATAGTATAAATTGATATTGTTTTTAATTGATAATTTGATGAAATAAAATTTTAATATGTCCATTTTTAGACAGTACTTTTTCAACAGACGTATTTAAATAGCTAAGCAAACATTCGATTGTTCTATAAAAACTCATGTTTAACATCGACAAAAAGTTCCTGACAGAACTATTTAGAGATAAAAAAATCAACACTCATGTAAGTAATTCTGATGCTACGCGTAAGTGAGCGGGTCTGCAGTTCCTTACGGAATCCTTGTTGAGTTCAACGTTGGTCTATGGCTCCTCCTCATTCACAGTCGATTTTCTGCTTTTCTTTGATACGAACTGTCTATTGATGTAATTTACAAGTGAAGTTTCCTGATGTAATCAACATATTATATGCTTAGCTTTATTAGAGACAATAAAACACTAATTGAACGGAACTAAATCTCGAAAGATGTCGGCCATGTTTAATATTTTGCACAACGCTGCTTATATTTTACATTTTCATTTGTATACATTCAATAGAACAGACGTCAAAACATTGATAATATACTTTGTTTTTACTTAAGAAAAAACAAACGGAAACATGGTAAAACCAAGGCCGAGAGCATTGGCAGAGATCAGTTCGACGGAAGCCAATGTGCTGGCAGCCGGTG